CCAAGGCGCAAAACTAGATCGTCGAGCTCGTCACCCAAAGATCGAGCAAGATCGAGACCGAACAAGATCGAAGGAAACTTGCCAATCCAACGGAAAACCAATATATCCGCAATCGGTCGAAGATCACGACGGCAATATCGGCACGTATCAAGAAGAGGCCGATTAATTAGCAAATCATGAGATTTTTTACCTTGTATAGAATTGTACCAAGAGTAGAACACCCCTATTATATAAAGGGGTTCTGATCATTTGCAGGACACATTGTAACACGTACAAGAAAGCAATATATTGATCATTTCTAGTTCTTATCATCTTGTTGTTCAGTTCTAACATCAGTTGAGACATTTCTTGGCTCGAGGGTGATCAAACTCAAAGGCTAAGGCTGTTCAATTTGGTGGTTTGCATTTATTTTCTTATCATTAATTTCAACATTAATCTGTCTTCTTAATTTGTATCAAGTTATATCACATATCCTTAAAACCGCGTACAAATTCAATTGTTATCCAATTTTAAGAGTAAATAGTGCTATAGAAAATTGAAGACTCGTTGCTTATTTATGATCAAAACTGAGTAAATAGTATCTTATTGAGATTATATATATATATATATATATATATATATATATATATATATATATATATATATATATATATATATATATATATATATATATATATTGTTTAATTGAAATTTTTTTGAGGAACATCATTATTGGATTTTTTTGGCCTTTAAAAACTTGTTGAATAAGACAAGGTGGTAGGTCTACCAATTTTTGAAAGTTTGGGTTGTGTTTTACCAGTAGAATTATTGAAATCAATATTAGGAGACTGCATATCATATTTGGAGATATTTGAAAATGTGGATAAGATATTTTGAAGCAAAAATATGTTGGTGAAATTTCTACACATGCAAGTAATAACAATCCATCAAGATTAGTGAATAATTTTTACCAAACATTTGACATAATTTCTGCCAAAGTTACAATCCATCAAGGCTTGTAACAAGGCAAGTTGTGCGCATCAATCAGAACTTGTAATACGCCATCAAGATTTTGTAAATAATTTGTATCAAAGTTATGATATAACTTGTAACTAAATTGTGACGATCTATTAAGACTTGACAAGATGAGTTCTGCCCATCTACATTTATAAAAAATATGGATTAAAATTGTGATACAATTTGTACAACAGCCATGACGATCAACCATGACTTGTAACAAGATAAGTTAATCTATCATAACTTTTGATGATCCGTCAATACTTTTGCTAAGTCTTGACCCACAAGCTCTAAGTTCTGACCCTAGACTATTTTTGCAAAATTTAATAAAATGGGATCAAAACTCAAACTGGGGCACATAATCAACCAATTGGTAAACTTTTTATGTGGTACCCAGTTTTGCTCCACCGATTGATTCTGTACCAACTTTTAAAAAAGAAGTTTAACTAAAACCCAATTTTTAGTTACTTCAGATACATACATTTTTCCCATCTTCTTTACTGTTGCTTTCTTTTTCTTCTTTGTGTTTAGGGTTTCTTGTTCTTTTTAGTTTCAAAATGGATTTGTTATATTTTTTTAACAATTTAATGATTAGAATTTGTTCTTTATGATATTTTAAAGCCATGTTTTAAATTTGAACTTATTTGGAGTAGATTTAGACGTTGAATCGTGTGTTCGATCGTTGATGTAACGACCCGACTGGTCGTTTAACTTTTTAGATCCCCGTTTCCCTAATTAAGACTCTCCATATATGCTTTTACCTTTTTTTTTGACTTGCGGGATGGTTGATTTGGGTTTGGAAGGGCTAAGGTTGAAATCGAAATACTTAGTTCCTTAATAGTCGCCTAAGATGGCCTAGTTTGACTTGAGTCAACATTTTGAGTAAAAGAACCTCAGAACCGGGATTTGATGGTTCCAATAGGTTTGAGTGATGATTTTGGACTTGGGCGTGTGTTCGGATCGGGTTTCAAATGATACGGGATCGTTTCGGCGCTTAATGTTGAAAGTTGGCACATTGAAGGTTTTCTAATTCTTTAAATTTAGTTTGGAGTAGACTTTGGTGTTATCGAGGTCCATTTTAGATTCTGAGCCTGAGAATAAGTCCGTATGGTGATTTATGAGTGTATGCAAAATATGGTGTCATTACGACTTGTCTAAGTATAATTTGACACATTCAGAGCTAGTTGAAAAGTTTGAAGTTCAAAAGTTGATCAATTTGGTTTTGAGGTCCGATCTTAGTTTCAATGTGTTTTATGCGTTCCGAGGGTTCGAACAGGTCCATATTATGTTTATAGACTTGTTGATGCAGTTGGACGGGGTCCCAGGTGGCTCGGGTGTGTTTCAGGCCGTCCGAAGCTAAGTCCAAAACTGCTGCACTTGCTGGTTCTGGTTTTCTTCTTCGCGAACGCAAAGATTCCCTCGCATTCGCGATGAAGGAATGAGACTGGGTAGGTTTTGTTCTACACGTTCGTGAAGAGGAGCACACGGTCGTGATGCTCTAGGCCATTGTTCATCACGTTCACATGTCTGTGCCTACGTTCACGTAGAAGAAATTAGGTCTGGGGGGGCACTGGACAAGTGCTCTTCGCATTCGCGAAGTTAGGGCCGCGTTCACGAAGCTTTGGTCAGGTAAGCCTTCGCGATCGCGAAGTGCATTTTTCTGGGGCGTGTCCTGTTTTCCTTCACGATCATGAGGCATCTTCCATGATTGCGAAGAAGGTTCACTGAGCAGTGGACTTTAATATAAATAAGACTTTGGCCTATTTTGCTCATTTCTCTCATCTTGTGGCTGATTTTGAAGCTTTTTAGAGAGAGATTTTAACCTAGCATTTTGAGGTAAGTGTATTCTACACAATGTGAGTTTAGTACATAGATTATGGGTAGATTTTAACATAAAAATTGTAAAAAAATTACAGTAGTATTTTTTTTTGAAAAGCCTAGGTTTTAATAAAAACAAAATTAGACCACGAAAATGGTTATGAAATTGAGTAGAAATTATATATTTCTGTTCGTGAGGTTATAGGTAACAATTATTTACGAAAAATTTCGAAATTTGGGCGCATGAGCTCGGGGTGAATTTTAGGAAACCTCCAAATTGGGTTGGGTAATTACTCTAATAGTTGAATTATGAGTTTTTTGAGTAAGTATTGATTAGTTTGTACAACCTTTGACTAGTTTCGGATTTCTCAGCACTGCGTGAGGCTTTTAGTGTGATTTGTGGACCGAAAAGTGGATTTGGAAATGAGGTAAGTATCTTGTCTAACCTTGTAAGAGAGAATTAACCCTATAGGCGTTTAAATTATTATTTGCTACTAATTGTGGGTCCTACATACGTATGAAGTGACGAAAGTCCGTACGTAGCTAAAATTCATGTTATGTTCCCATAGACATAAGACTTTATCATGCAATACTTGCACTATTTGAACCCAACTTGTTAGTTTAATTACTTTTATTAATAAGTAAAATTTGATTAAAGATTATGTTAGACCGAGCTTCATTACTTAGAGATTTGGCGGAATGATTAATTATTGATGGAAAATGCATAATTCCTTTATGGGCATACCTTGGGTTGTAAACACGAAATTCATAGGTCGAAGAGTTCCCTATTCATGTGGATCGGGCCGAACGCCTCGGCAATATTAATATATAATGTAATGCCTCCATGGATCGAGTTGTACGACCTCGGTAGTGTATGTACACGATTGTTATGGATCGGTTCGTACGACCTTGGCATAACTCGTGCGTGTTCTCGCGAGAAGTTCGATTATACTCGGTATATTCTTCATGACTCTAAAAGTTGTAATGGCCCTTACTTGTTGTGATTAGCATGTGACATTTAAGAACTTTCAACTTGTTATTTGGTTAAAGCATCACTTGTTTACGACCTCTTATTCCAGTATTATTGTTGTATTTCATGCCTATTATAATTCTTGCACGTATGTATATTGACCACTAGTAAGTGATGATGTCGACCCCTCGTCACTACTTCTTCGAGGTTAGACTAGATTCTTACTGGGTACACGTTGTTTACGTACTCAAGTTACACTTCAACACAAATTGTGCAGGTTCAGAAGCAGGTATATCTGTTGTTCGTCTAGGCACGCATCCGCATTACTCGGAGGCCTAGTGGTGAGCTGCTTCTCATGCTCCGTTCTGCAGCCCCGGAGCCTCCTCTTGTTATATTTACTATTTCTGTCTATTCTGTTTCAGACAGTAGTTTAGGGAGTTTTGTATATTCTACTAGATGCTCGTGCACTTGTGACACTGAATTTTGGAAAATTAGTAGATATTTGTGGGTTTTTGATTTATTAAATTCACTACTTACTCTCATGTTTTAGTTTATTCTTTACACTGCTACGATCACATACTATTTGTTTCGTTATTAAATAAGACCAATGACTTTAAAAATATTAAAATGAACAATTAAATGGATAGTTCACTGTTGGCTTGCCTAGCGACGACGTTGGATGCCATCACATCCTATAATGGGAATTGGGTCGTGATAGTTAAAATTTGAAAAATAAGCTTATGTTTCAGAACTTCAGATTTTGAATCTGAAGTTGTATTGAAAAATTGAACTACTTAATATTCAAATTTTGAATATGAAGTTGTACTGAAAAATTGACCTACTTAAGATTTGAATTTTTGAAGTTGCAATTAAAAGATAGAAGAAGTTCAAATTCGAAATCTGAAGTTGCTTTGAAGAGCTTGAACTATTTAAGATTTGAATTTCTGAAGCTGCAGTTGAAAGATATGAGAACTTCAGATTTGATTCTGAAGTTGCACTGAAGAGATTGAACTGCTTCAGATTCAAGTGGGACACTTTGCAAAGTTTTGTGCAACGCGAGTATAAATTCAATGGTAGCCCTAAAAATGGCTATACATGCAATTGCAAATGGCCCGACCAATTTGTTCATATTACCTAAGAAAGCGAGCACATCAGTCATGTGAGAGGCACATGATAATGAATTGGCTTGGACCTGTCTGTACTGAAGGATTTGGCCCAAATAATTTCCGGCTGACAAAGCCCAAGATCATTTTTCCTTGAATACATTCCTGAATACTGGAGGCTGCAAACTTTGTTCAGGCGAACTCATCGGAGATTTCATTGTAAGTTCCCTTTTCTAGATTTCATCATCTCTTTGTCTAGTGTTAGTGGTGTACTAAAATATCTCCCGTAACTACTAACTTTCTCGTCTACTAACTAGTTACTTCGTTTGCCCTAGTCCATTTTGCTTTTTGTTTATTGATATAAATAAGAAAAGTACAAAAGAATACTTTTAAAGAAGTGAAATGTGAAAAATCCTAGATTTCCTCATCTCATGTGCCAAAAATCCTTAAATCCTTAAACCCTAATTCTTTTTCTCTAGTGTTAGTGGTACTAAAATGTCTCCCTTAACCACTAACTTTCTCGTCTACTAACTAGTAGTTACTTTGTTTGCCCTAGTCCATTTTGCTTTTTGCTTAAATCCATTAAGAGTCAAGTGGTAAGGGGATAGAATGATGAGCTTAGTGAAGCTGTAAAGGGGAGGGGTAGTTTTACAAATGTTATTTAGAATGTTTTAACTTTGTTAGAGCCCCAGGGCTTTGGTAAACTAAAGAGGTAGTGCAGTGCGGGATGGGCGGTAGGTGCACATGAAAAGTTTGAAACCCTAGAGCTAGCTGGTATGCAAGTGGAGAAGGTAGATGGATGGGCCTATTGTCCACCAAGTTTTAGAGTTGGAAATGGTGGATTATCATTTTTTTTAATTTAAAATATTAAATTTGCTAGAGCTCTTTGTTTAATCTAAATCTTTTCTAGATAGTTTGCTTGATGCTGAGTTACTTTCTCTTAAGAGACTAAAAGAAAAAGGGTAGTGGCATGTGATGACTGATGAGGAAATGTGCTTGCTAGTATGTGTCTACTAGCATTTGGGTTCCTCGATTGCCCACTGTAAATGGTTCCATAGATGTGGGAAAAGAGGAAAACAGAAAATAAATAAGAGAAACTGAGTTAGCTGTAACTACTTGTGTTGCATAAGTACATATATAGTGGCCATTCTACTTCTGTCATAGAGGTTACACCCAGAGCACCAGAGACCTAGGGTATGATAACATAGTTATCTTAGGGTATGATGACATAATTATCCTAGGGTATGATAACATAATATTCTTAGGTTATGAAAATCATTTTAAATTTACCCAATATTTGTCTAAAATAGTCATTAGATTGATGATTCCTTATTTCTTTACTGATGGAGTAAGTGAAAACTAATTTAGTTTAGTAGCTTATCCAAATCATATATCCTTATAAGATGTTTCTTTTCTTAATCAAGTTTAGTTCACATGCTTTTGGAATGTCTTTGAGCATTGTTGACACTAGTGACTAGTCAATTTATTCATAAACTATCAATAGAATCATGTAATCTACTGTTGGGCTATTTCTTTAGTCCTGTCCTATTTGACGAAAAGGAAATGCAAAGGCCAGTGGTCTTTGTGAAATGTTTGATTTTATCTTTTTGTGCCCCTGAATCTCTAATTGATCAACGAGAAATATGTAATTGATTTTTGTTTTCAACATGTAATTGGTTATTGGACCTTTTCTTGTGTTCTATCCTATTTGATCAAAGGGAAAAATGTGTAGGCCTGTGATCTTTGTCCAACATGGATTACAAAATATTGATTTATCTTTTTGTTCCCCTTAATTCAAGTGTATTATAGGAATATCTCTCACATTGAAGCCTCCGGTTCTCCTTATAAGATGTTTCTTTTCTTGAAGTTTAGTTAACATGCTTTTGGAATGTCATTGACACTAGTCAATTTGTGAGGGAAGCAATCAACAGAATCATGCAATCCATTGTTGGGCTCTTTCTTTGGTCTCGTCATATTTGATGAAAAGGAAATAAGCCTATGGTCTTTGTCCAACATCGACTTTGAAGTGTTTGATTTTATCTTTTTGTGCCCCTTAACCTAAGGGAAACATATAATTGATTATTGGAGCTTGTGCCCAAGGGTGTGGCCTAGTGGTCAATGAAGTGGGTGGAGAACCATGATGTTTCAGGTTCAAATCCCAGTGGAGATAAACACACCAGGTGATTTCTTCCTATTTGTCCCAGCCTTGGTGGCTAGAATTACCTAATACTTGTGCTGGTGTGGAATTAGTCGAGATGCAAGCAAGCTGACCCGGACACCAAGGTTATAAAAAAAAAATATGATTATTGCATCTTTTCTTTTGTCCTAGCGTATTTGATCAAAGGGAAAAACGTGTAGGTCTGTGGTCTTTGTCCAACATGGATTGCATAACATTGATTTATCTTTTTGTTCCCGTTAGTCTCGAATGCATTATGGGAATATCTCTCACATTGAAGCCTCTGATTTGTTTCTAAATAATATTGGAAGATATTTTGGTTTCTCCAAATTACATGAAGGTAGTAGGCTAGCATTGTACTCACTTTTGGTTTCTCTATACTACCTCTGCCAGCACATTAAATATCGAATTTTTAGGGGCTTATAGCTCTTCTCAAATTTCTCCAATTCCTTCTCTGTGATTCCCAGCTTGAATTTTATCTCCACAGTTTGGCTCTTAGACTCCTTCAAATTCTAATACAGAAGAAGGCTTGACTTCTTGAAAATGGAAGATCACATTTGAGAATCAAGGAATCGATCATCATTTGCTAACTCACATTTTTCATTTCCCGGTATTATGGTAAATCAGGGTTAGAGTTTAAAATCAGATTGATCTTAATTAAACATTGTGATAATATGTAATTGGATAATTTTTCTTTCTGTTCATTATTGATAAAGACAAAGCGAGAAAGTAAAAGTTACGGCTCTGAAATTTAGAAGCTGTGCATCTCTTCATCTCGGCTCTGGACAAATTAAGCATTGTCTGCCAACATGCTTGGTCTTCGCTTCATTTTCAAGTACTCTAACTGGTTCCTTTTTAGTTGAAGCAAACCAATTCGTCCTAAAACTTTTTCCCAATTTCTCAAATTCTTCGATTATTTCCCCAAAGACCACATTAGTGTATGGCCAAATGGGTTTTAGTCTTCTTTCCATAATCATGATCATTCATCAGGCCTTGAATCATTCGCTGTGTTTTGTTTTTGGGTCAAATTTTCAACGGTTGTGATTGAATTTCAATATGGTTCTGAAAGAAAGGAGGGGAGACGGGGATGGATGGAATGCAAACTGATGGAGAAGGAAGAAAAGTTAGGTTTAGTTCTTAAGATGGGAAGACAAAAATACCCATTTTACTAATGTGTTGGCATTGTAAAAGGATATTTAAGAGAGACAAAAAATGGGTGCAATGCTAACCTACTACCTTCATGTAGTAGCATGAAAGTAGTAGGTTAGCATTGTACCCATTTTACTACTGCGTGGCTGTAGTAAGTTAGCATTGTAACCAAATTTTCGATTCACTAAAGTAGGAACATTTAGGGGATTTTGTCTTTTACCTATATCCCCGAATTTCTTTCTGCTCCATCTGCATTTTATTCCCAGATTAACTGCAGCAAACCCAACCCTTCAGGCTGCCTCCTCAATCTTCTCGTCATCCTCCACCTTCGGCAAACTTCAACAATCCCCGCTTGTTGGCTTCCTGTATTCATTAGCTCAGTACGTATTGATGGGGTAGCAAGGCAAATATGAAGACAAATTTGACGACTATCGAACACACTACCGCTTGTCACAATTTTAATTCTGCTTTTTGGGTTTAATTCATTTGAAAGTACAGAGTGTTACGAAGTAGTGAGGGCTGAATTTCAGGTCTCACTATACCGAGTTGCCTTTCTCTTATGCTCTTTTCCTGCGAAGAACAAAAAATCACCCAAACACAGATTGTTCATAAATTCTATTCAGCATGGGTTTGATTTAAATCTCATTCTTGAAGAATATCTTGGGGCGTTTAGTTGCTTTCAAGCTGTGCAATGGGAAAAAGGGCTGCAATTATACAGGCAAAAGATTCAGGACCTGGCAAATGTCGTGGAATGTGGACTAGAAAACCTCCCTACCAAATATCTAGGCCTCCCTTTGGGCTACAAAAATAAGTCGCAAGATATATGGCAAGGGGTGATTGAAAGGAGTGAAAAAAGATTGTCAAGATGGAAGAGTCAATATCTGTCACTCGGAGGCAGAGTGACTCTGGTAAATAGTGTCTTAGATGCATTGCCTTCCTATGTGATGTCCTTATTCCCAATTCCTACTAAGGTGAGGAAAAAGATTGACTCCCTTAGAAGGAATTTCATTTGGCAAGGTAACAGTGAGAAAAGGACTATTCACTTGGTCAATTGGGATACTCTTTTGTGCTCGAGGCAAGTAGGGGGCCTAGGTGTCAGAAATCTAAAGGCTCAGAATAATAGTCTACTGGCAAAATGGTTATGGAGGTATAACTTGGAGGAAACAGCTTTATGGAGAAGGGTAATTCAAGAGAAGTATGGCTGGGGAGGACATTGGTGCACCAAACCGAGTGGCATCCCCTATGGATGGGGGTCTGGAAAACAGTCAGGGGGCAATNGAGTTGTATAGCATTGCTGAAAATCAAAGAATTTCAGTAGCAGATGCAAAATCCATACAAGGTTGGAACATTGTCTTCAGAAGGAATCTTAATGACTGGGAGTTGCAGAGTGTGGCAAATTTCTGGGAGACCTTAGAAGCTTTCCAAGGTCTCACAGAAGAGGAAGATGCTTTAATCTGGGAGGGTCACAAATCAGGTTCTTTTTCAGTGAAATCTACTTATCATTTCATTAACAATACTCCTAATCGTGCGCAAGGTTGGCCATGGAAACAAATTTGGAGGGTCGGGGTGCCTACAAAAGTTCAATGCTTCACATGGTTAGTAGCGAGGGAAGCTGTCCTAACTCAGGATAACCTTCTTAGGAGAGGAATCCAGCTACAAGCTAGATGCAGTTTTTGTGGCAAAGATGGGGAATCAGTTTCCTACCTCTTTATTCACTGCCCGGTCACTACCCAACTGTGGTACTTCTATCTTAATTTGGCTGGTATATCTTCGTCAATGCCCGTAAACACTGCAGCTCTTCTCAGTAGCTGGAACAATGGAGGGGCAAATATTAAACAGAAGAAATGGTGGAAAATTGTTCCTGCTTGTATATGGTGGACCATCTGGAAAGAAAGGAATGCCAGAATTTTTGAAGATAGACCTAGCTCTTACCAGAAAATTAAGCTTAATTGTTTTTTGTTATTCCATTTTTGGTGTAAAGAGAGTTATAGGGAGGATGTACACTCTTTATTAGGCTTGCTGGAAGAAATGTAATCGAATAGAATAGGCTTTGGTACTCTCTCTGACCCTTTGAGGGTCTGATTGTGTCCTTCACAATCTCTTGTAAATCTTTTACACATTTATACAATTGTTACCATTCTCAAAACAAAAAAAAAATTACACAGGCAAAAGAGAACAAATGTGAGGGAGATGATGAACTGCATTTTTCTGATTAGTATAAAAGACAAAAAGCTCCAAGATTTATTTACGGATTAAATAAGTGACAGAGGGTATTTTAATGAATCAAAAAGTGAACAGCATTGTACTCAGATTTTAATTCTCCAAATACCCCCAACAATTCATGTCAGCACATTAAAGTTTAGGGCATTTTTGTCTTTCATCCAAATCTCTAAGTTTCCTCTCCTTCCGTAGTTCCGTTGTGTTTCTCTCCCATTCTGATTAAACTCCAGCGAGCCCAGTCCCAAATTTCTTCTTGGACAGCCTCCACATTTGTTCTTTCTATTCTTGACAAAGGGAGTGTTGCTGGGTTTTGGTAAAAAATAAAAAAAAATGACAATAAAGAACCATAAAGATATGGATTTATTTTATTTGATACTGCATTTGTTCAATGATTGAAGAGAAATATTAAGCAAATGGGGAAGAAGAGATGTTTGAAATCTATGTGAAATAATCAAACAGAGCAATTGTTGGACATCATAATCAGAAAGCAAAAAGTATTATGCACACCATAATCTGAATATAAAATAGAGGCACTAAAGACTTAGTAGAATTTGAGAAATGATGGACATTGGAGATTTTGCTCCCTGTTGCTTGCCTCAAGTGTTGTAGAGAGAGGTTGGAGATAAATGTTGCTGGGAGCAAAATGCAGGTGGAAAATTGGGGAATTTGGGTTAAAGAAAAAAACGCCCTCATCTTTAATGTGTTGGCATGTATTGTCTGGGGTATCTTGGAGAACTGAAATGTGGCTACAATGCTAACCTACATCCTTCAATGTATTGTTTGGGATATGTATGTATGTGTGTGTGTGTGTGTTTCGCTCGCACGGCTGTGTGTGTGCGCGCGCGTGCGCTCAAACAGATAATCAAATTGTCTGGGCAAGGAGCTCTATAATAACTTTGTACTTCTGTATCTGTAACTTATGTTTCTATTATGTTTCTTGCATTGGTTAGCTGAATTTTCTAGAAACTTATCAGGTGCAAGCGAAGGCCAAAATGCAAACTGAAAGTGCTTTGTCAGTTATTGGACCAAGGCCGATGGAGTTGTCTGCTGTGCCTCCTAGCTTTCCTCAAGGGCTTGGACCAAATGGAAAACCACGGACATCAAGCTTGGAGTCACCAATTATGTTGCTTACCGGACATCAAAGTGCTGTGTATACCATGAAGTTCAATCCAGCAGGAACAACCATTGCATCTGGTTCACATGATAAAGAAATCTTTCTTTGGGATGTACACGGCGATTGCAAGAATTTTATGGTCTTGAAAGGGCACAAAAATGCAGTTCTTGATGTTCAATGGACTACTGATGGATCAACAATAGTATCAGCCAGCCCCGATAAGACTGTTAGGGCGTGGGATGTAGAAACAGGCAAACAGATTAAAAAAATGGCTGAACATTCCTCATTTGTGAATTCATGCTGCCCAGCTCGGAGGGGCCCTCCACTTATTGTCAGTGGATCTGATGATGGCACTGCTAAACTTTGGGATATGCGCCAAAGAGGAGCCATACAGACATTTCCAGACAAATTTCAAATTACTGCCGTCAGTTTCTCTGATGCCTCCGATAAAATCTACTCAGGTGGTATTGACAATGATGTGAAAGTGTGGGATTTGCGAAGGTGTGAAGTAACTATGACTCTTCAGGGCCATCAGGATACTATAACTGGTATGCAGCTGAGTCCTGATGGGTCTTATCTTCTTACTAATGCCATGGACTGCACACTTCGCATATGGGACATGCGTCCGTATGCCCCCCAAAATCGCTGTGTTAAGATCTTGGAAGGCCACCAACACAATTTTGAAAAGAACCTGCTGAAATGTAGCTGGTCACCTGATGGAAGTAAGGTAACAGCTGGGAGTTCTGATCGCATGGTTTATATCTGGGATACAACATCTAGGCGCATTCTGTATAAGCTCCCTGGACACACTGGATCTGTTAATGAATGTGTTTTTCATCCTAATGAACCAATTGTGGGATCTTGCAGTAGTGATAAACAGATCTATCTTGGTGAGATTTGAATAGGAGGTACTACCTTTTCTGACCTTCAGCTATATATATTCAGTATGAGGGAGCTACCAGCAGATTTGGGAACTAGGTGTGGATTCATCAAGTTGTAGTTAAAATTTGTAACCTTCTTTTGCCTATGGGTGGAACTTTGAAACTGCAAAACAGTGATATGCTTGCTTAATTTTGATTACCTGATAGATGTTATTGTACAACTATGCTGAATGTTTTGCCTTGTAGACAAGAAGTTTAGATGTGAGATTGCAAGTTTTGGGGATTCAAGACACTGCTTTAGTTAGGTATCAAAAAAATATATAAAAAAAGATACATTTGTTTAGTTGCAGAAGATTGTGGAGATCAGTGAACAGTTGACATTTCGATTTCTAGTGTACCTATTGGGTTTTACTGTCGAAGCTGAAGTTAACAGTTTGAATTCATACTTTTTGTTTACTAGTATTTACTGCCTCTTATGAATGAATCAAAATATGCACTATGTTATATTTTGAGTCATCATACTTTCAATTAAAACTTCTCTTTCAACTATGTAAGTTTAATTGTTCTAACTTTTATGTACGTGTAAACCATAATTATTGTAATAGTTACTACCACACAACATAAGTACCTTCCTTGTTTAGGGACAACTACTAAAATATTTGTATAAAACAAAATAGTAGAAATATTTGCTTGGATTTTTAAAAAAGAAACGAAAATATACAAAACAGTGTCCTTGCATGAGTAATTGCGAGGCTAACAATGGTACAAAGGATGGGAATAGCTACAAAAATTATGCCATTTCATTTAATTTGTCAATCTCTGTATATAAGACCATGAACAATTATATAACCAGCAATTTCATTTCACTTTTTTCTTTTCAGCATTAATACTTTATCAAATCAATGTAAAGTACTTTGTAAAATTTTTATTGCGTAGTGCAAACAAAAACACCAATTTATATATATAGCTTAACCAACCAAAGAAAACAATTGAAAATAACGAAAAATAATGATGTAAAAAACTATTCAACATGATAATGAGAAAAACAGAGGATCATACAAAGATTCGGTAAAGTCTCACTTTGCAGGACATCTCAAACAAAGTAGAAAAAATGTATCTACACAAGCCAGAAATTACATCTAATTAAAGACGGTGAATACATACGTGCATGTTGTAAAAAAAAAAAAAAGTGTATCCGACGTCCCAACAATCACATTATTTTGTATTCGCGATATGAAAAATAAGAAAAAGAATCGTACTACTATTACAAATGAGTATATATCACTACACTTTCTTATCAAACTTCTTTCCTTTGTTTAAAAAGAAAATATTCTAATGGTTCTTTTGCAGAAAGTCAATATTATAGTACACAGTTGTCCCATAAATACAAGCCTCTAGATGGTAGATATGAGAAAATGAAAAAGAAATTAAATTACCTATCAAGATATTGCTGAGCAAAATATGACAAATGAAAAGAGACAATACATAATGTGGGGAAAATGGAATTTATTATAGATAGAAGAGAAAATTGTTAAATTGATTTGGCACTTTGTTTTGCACTTTTATAAGTACAATAAAAGATATGAAAAGTTTACTAATAAATGTTATTATTGGTGGCATCTCTAAGGACCAAAACTGATATAGAGGTGGAGCTTTAAAAAAATTTGCAAACTGAACATGTAATAACTACAGTAGACTAAACGATCAATCCTATTTATTAAGCAAAAAAATGGGCACACCTACAACATGTTATAACTGATGGCAGATGAAAGAATCCTAATTCAACGCAGCTAATATTTTCATCTAACATATTCATTTTCATTGATTTAAAGAGTAATATGGTCATTTAGCTTTTGAAGGGCATTTACGTAATTCGATTTTAGACTTAGGGTCATCCACTTTTAATATAGTATGATATGATATGATGATTCTTTTGTTGTTCACTTTGGTTTAAGAAGTTGTCAAGGATGCGATTGGAGAAAGGTTATTAGAGCAGGATACCTACGTATTGCAGGTAGAGAAACCATTCATCAGAAAAGTTTCTTTCAATTCTTTCTAGTAAATAAATCTTCTATTTAGATAAGGAAATTTGATCTTCACGGCAATACAAGATCATAGTCCTCTTTGATAATGAATGACAGTTTTTGACCAACATGGGAAATTTGTGTTCGTGCGCGATAAAAACAATTGTATGCAATTAAAAGGAATTGTGCATTGCCGAGAGTTATAATTGATGTTATCAGACGTTAATTTCCCTTTGCATTAATCTTGATTAATACTACAACTAGCGACTGCGTATGCATCATCAGGAGAATCATTAGATTCTCTCTGTTAGATTTGTTGTTGCTTTGACAAATTAATGATTGAGATTTATTTTTTATGATATTTAAAAATTATGTTTTAAATTTGAGCTCATTTTGGAGTAGATTTGGGTCTTGAATTGCGTGTTGGATTGCTGAAATTTGAAGAATAAATTTTTTCCGGGCAATTTGCACTTCATACTAAAAATTCTTAAATGCATGCAAAAAATAGCTATACTTTGCTTCAGATGCTGTGATTACAGGTATCATCTCGGTTTGTCATAGAGATGCCTCTGTGTTATTTGATTCTGGCTTCACTTTTCCGCAATTATGTCCTCGTACCGAGCCGACGCTGAAGCAGCTAATGCCCGGGCAAAGGATATCTCTGCTGCGGCCAAAGTTAAGTTATCATGTGCACTCGACCATGCTAGGCGACGGTCCCGGAGGGAAACCCTTGAGGAGGTACATGCTCACGGCTTCGATCTCTCAGCCGATATTGAATAGAAGATTATCCATACCGGGTATAATAAGCTTATCCTTTCGATACTCCGTTGTGGATAAATATTACCCCTAGTAGAAGATTATCTATACCTGGTATAATGAGCTTATCCTTTCAGTACTCCGTTATGGATAAACATTACCCCAGTAGAAAATTATCTATACATGGTACACCAATTAAGTCTTAAGTACATCTTAAGTGCAAGTTTTGCACTTCAAACTACTGAAGTCTTAAGTGCACGCAAAAATTAGTCGCACTTCAGACAAACAGTCTTAAATGCATCTTATGTTTGCAACTTCATACTATGATTTTTTCAACTTCAGACATCTGAAGTTAATCCTAAGATGGGTAAACTTACATATTTTTGTGTAATGACCCCAAAACTAAGTATATATGCAAATTTCCCTATATTTTATATTGACTTAAAAAAAATAATTCTCAAGCCAATAAATATAAGTATATTCTTGATCTTGATATAATTATTATTAAATTAGTTTCTCGACACGTGTATTGCACGTGTATGTCGAGTCATGTATTATACTTGAAAGAATAAAGTACAAGGTTGTGTAAATGATCAATGTGAATTATTCTAAGTTGACTTGTTTGTCCAGGTCAAGATGATTGAATATATATGTGAAATAATGCAAGAGATTTTTATAAATAAAGAAAAAAAGGCAAAATGATTGTGAGCTAATTTTCTTAGGCAGAGGCGGATCCAGGATTTAAACTTTGTTGGTTCAACTTTTAAGGTTTTATTATTGAACCCATTATAAGTTATGGGTTCATATTTACTATTTTTGCAATTTTAACCAATTTTACATATAAAATTTTGCTCCACGTGGAAAGTTATGGGTTCAATTGAACCCGTCATTAATATACCGTATTCGCCCCTGTTCTTAGGATAGTAATTTCTCCACATGGTGTAAATTGTTAAATAGAAATTCTACCCTTAAGAACAGTGCCTACTCAAAAATCAAAGTTGTACTTTTAAATTTCTTCTAATACATAAACTCAATCCAATAAATAGAAATTAGAAGTTGAAATAGAAGATCGAAGGGAAATAGAACGTCAATATATTTCCAATGTTTGAAGAAACGACGAAGAAGATTTTGGCATAATATGTTCTGACCTAATTTCCACTATAGATCGTGATGGCGCCCAACGTCGTTGCTAGCAAGCCAAAGGGAAATTATCCACTTAATTATTTATTTAAATATTTTTAAAGTAATTGATTTTATTTAATAAAGAAATAAATAGTAGGTGACCGTAGTAATATAAAGAGTAAGATAAATATAAGAGTGAAGTAGTGAATTTAATAATCAAAAACCATGAATATTTAAAATCCCATGCCACAAGTGCACGAGCAAACTAGTATATATACAAAACCTCTTATACTACTGTCAGGAGTAAGATAGACAGAAAAATAAATACCACAAGGAAGAGACTCCGGGTGTTGCAGAACGGTGCATAGGGAGCAGCTCACCACTAAGCCTCTAGGTAGCGGGGATACGCGCCTGACTGGCCACCATGCACCCGCCTCAGATCCTGCACGATTAGTGCAGAAGTGTAGCATAAGTACATAAACAACATGTACCCAGTATGTATCTAGTCTAACCTCGAAGATGTAGGGACGAGGAGTCGACATCGACACTTACTAATGATCAATAAATAAAATATAAAAATCATAAGTAGGCATGAAATACAGCAATAATAATGAGATAATAAACATTAATTTATAATTCTTAAACATAATATCAATTTAAAGTATCCAACTACCACATGCCAAGTATTTAACACGTAAGAACCCCAAGTAATTTTTTAGTCTCAGACCAAGAAGAAATATCAAGTAAAATCGGACTCTAACCAATATCATGCACAAATTATGTCAAGGTCGTACGACCCAATCCAAAATAGTGTGTACTGCCGACGGTCGGCCGGCACGACCATAGATGCATCCAATATACTGCCGAGGCATTTGGCCCGATCCACAGGAATAAAGGAAACTCCACAAACTCCGATCAACGATTACTACATAGGATTAATACTCAAAGAAGGCATAATTTCCACTAACAGTCAAGTATTCTCCCAGAACTCAAAGTAACGAAGCTCAATCCTTTAAAATCCTTTATCCAATTACAATTAAACATTTAGGTAATTAAACTAACAAGTTGGATGCAAAAATTACAAGTAATACATGGTAGGGTCCTAAATCTACCCGGACTCTCGTCACATGGTGCGCACGTAGCACCCACAATTATTAGCAAATAACCATTTGAAACACCTACGCGGATAATTTCCTCTTATAAAATTAGGCAAGAGACTTACCTCGTTTCCAAGTCCTCTTCTCGGTCCACAACACCCTAATAGTCTCAAATCCGTATCGAGCAATCCGAAACTAGCCAAAGGTTGTACAAACTAATCAATATATGCTCAAAAGTTTATAATTCAACTATTAGAGTAATTACCCAACCCAAATTGGAATATTCCTAAAATTTGCCCCTAGGACCACGTGCCCAGATTCCAGAAATTTTCGTAAAGAAATGTTACCCATAACCTCGCGAATACAAGTATATGATTTCTACCCAACTTCAGAATTATTTTCATGGTCTAATTCCATTTTTATCAAAACCTAAGTTTTCAACAA